TAACTCGAGCAAAAATTGAGATATCTCAACGAAATTTAGTATATAGGTTTCCGTTTATCTAAGGTAGGTTGGTATTGAAAATGGGCGAAATCGGACTGTAACCACACCCACTTCCCATATAACGGTAATTTTCAGAAATACGAAAACAGAGATATTTTCGTAACTACTGAAGCTTGTTCACTCGAAATTGATATTTAAAATAAATTTTAGACGAAAAATAAGAATATTATAAATTTTTGGAAAATGGGCCTAGCCACGCCCACTTATGGTTATATGTGTATATCTTGGTATCCGCTGCACCAATTTCTTCCAACACAGTTCTTGGCCTTGGTACAGCACACCAAATGGCCAAAAATTTTCAAAATCGGACATTAACCACGCCCACATCCCATGTAACGGTAATTTAGGAAAATACAAAATCCTCGATAAATCAGAAAATATTAAAGCTAATTTATCCAAAATTGATGCTTCTAACAATTCTTTAGCAAGAAATACGCTTATGGTAAAATTTTAGAAAATGGGCGTGGCGGTAACCGTTCAACCAATTTTTACCAAACTCAGTACGGTTATTGTGCTTGCCACATAAAAGCAAATCGTTGAAAATTATTGAAATCGGACTAAAATTACGGCCGGTTTTCATATAACGGTAAATTTGAGAAATGCTTGATACTTCAATATTTCGAAATTTAAGGACGCTAATTTACTTAAAATTGATACACCCCGGCTTATCATGTAGCGGTAGCTTTCGGAAAGGTGAAGAACATATATTTAATACTTGCGCCGGGTATTTAATGTTCGGCTCCGCCCGAACTTAGACTTTCTTACTTGTTTAAAGTAGTTTTTTGAAAAAATAACCTCAGATGGCAAAGCAGTTTAAGCACAAAAAACCGAAGCTTTTTTTAGTCCAATGAACATACAAAGTACATAAATAGAAAAATTGCAGACATTTTATAAAAATCCGCAAATTTTTACGGCCCTGACATGCCGTCTTCTTTTCAGGTTTCCTGAGGTGAATTAATGTAATTCGCTATTTGCTTGTTATCACGCAAACCTTCTAATCATAATTATTGCACATTTTAAAGCTCCAAAAATTAACTATTTAGGATTGTCTGAAAAGACTAAGAACCATCAAAAACTATAGAAACTCCCATCCCAAAATACAATCAATTATTTTTTGTTAATACCAATGTGGCAACGCTGCTTCTAAAATGTACAATTTATGAAACTTCAAAAATGCCTGTAAACCGTCAAAAAAGTTTGAAGTGAAACTATCTTCTATTTTTTTATCATGGCTAAATCTAGGCACCAAAGGCTAAACGGCAACTCTGGTTATAATGTACGGGGCGAATTGTAACAAATCGCGGCGAATTCGAAAGGATGTATTGATTTTAGATGCAAGTTCAAGTGCATTATAATCGTTCGAATTCATTGCCCATACAAAAGATAATTAAGTGACAGTACACTCCGTTCCCTTACTTCCATTATAATCCAGGCATAAGGCGAATTTATACAAGGTGGTGTTACTGGCGAAGGGGCACCGAAATTGCGCATATGGAAACTGTGCATTTAGACATTATTTCGGTTTTCAACCGAAACTGTGCATGTATGCATTACTTCGTTTTTTCCATATGCATTATTTCTCTTTTAAAACGAAAGTATGCATATACATAATTTCGGTATTTTCTCATATGCATTATTTCGGTTTTCAACCGAAACTGTACATGAATGCATATCTTCGTCTTTCACATATGCATTATTTCGGTTTTCATCCGAAACTGTGCATGTATGCATTACTTCGTCTTTCACATATGCATTATTTCGGTTTCGAACAGAAATTGTACATGCATGCATTATTTCGGTTTTTGTTATATGCACTATTCCGATTTTCCAACGAAAGTGTGCATATGGATAATTTCCGTTTTTCTAATATGAATTACATATTTACTTCTGCTAAGTAAGAGTTTTAATCCCTAAGCGCGGCCGAAAGCCGCCTACGCAGAAAGAAGCTCTGCGCAAAAATACTTCCGGTCCTCTTTTCCGGCAACACAGAAAGGAAAATTCTACTTAGTACGGGTTATAATACCTAAGCGCGGCCAAAGGCCGCCGACGTAGAAAGAAGCTCTGCGCAAAAATACTTCCGCCCTTCGTTTCCGGGAACACAGAAAGGAGAGTTCTTTTTAGTAAGGGTTATAATCCCCAAGCGTGGCCGCAGGCCTCCTACGCGGAAAGAAGTTATGCGCAAAAATACGTCCGGTTCTTTTTTCCGTCAATACAGAAAGGAGAATTCTACTCAGTAAGGCATATAGTCCCTAAGCGCGGCCGAAAGCCGCCTACGCAGAAAGAAGTTCTGCGCAAAAATACTTCCGGTCCCCTTTTCCGGCATCACAGAAAGGAAAATTCTACTTAGTACGGGTTATAACACCTAAGCGCGGTCGAAGGCCGCCTACGTAGAAAGAAGCTCTGCGCAAAAATACTTCCGCCCTTCGTTTCCGGGAACACAGAAAGGAGAGTTCTTTTTAGTAAGGGTTATAATCCCCAAGCGTGGCCGAAGGCCGTTTACGCAGAAAGAAGTTCTGCGCAAAAATACTTCCGACCTTCGTTTCCGGCAACACAGAAATGAAAATTCCACTTACGGGTCTATTCTGCATGTTACCGAAGATTTTGTAACCGGAAAATTTTATTACCAAAAAATGTTACCAGTTCTTGTCTCCGCGATTCTAGGAACGTTGGTAATGCAGTGAAAATATTCAGCAATTCAGTTTTGAAGAATTGTGCAAATTCTGGCATTGCATATTTCACGGGGTAACAAAATTTACCGGTTACAAGAATGCACATAATGCGAAAAAGGTTTAAAAATTGACAGGAACTTTATTTACCGGTTACAAACTTTTTATTACCAGCGCAGAATAGAACTGTTAACCGCACTAGAAGAATAAGTCTAGCTTGCGCAACCTAATTTAAAATTCTCTAACCGTGATTGCGAACATTTGGCATTGCAATCTCCTGAGGTTTAGAAAGAATTGATTCTTTGTATTTTGACGTTTTGGAATGCACCCGTATATTGTTTTTGCTTTTACTGATTTGACAACACACCCATGGTGCTGTCAAAAATTTGTTTCCCTCCAATGACGTAGTTGCGAAGTGAGTTCTGATTGGCTGAAATATTTCAAGAAGAAGAGTACACAAAATACAGAAAATATAGTTGCCGTATAGCATATTTTAGGAATCCTTATCAAATGGGCATTTAATTATTAATTATAACAACATAACATTTTATAACTTCACGTGAAACTGGATTAACATAATAATATTCGTGCAATAGTGACAAATGAAATGTAAATCGAATGCTTATTGAAATTTGCTGGTGATTTTATTCTTGAAAGTGAGCAGAACACACTCGCGGAGTTAAAAAAAAGAAACGTTCATAACATTAGCAAATTTTCGCTACCGAAATTGCAATTCATCTTTAGACATACGGTAAAACCAAAAATTACCTTTTTCAGCGTAATTTCTGCAATCAAAAACAGCGCACTTAAATTTGTAATAATTTAAATAAACTCAAAGGCCCGTAGTCATAGTCAAAATAAAGTCGACTTTAAAGTTAGTTGCAGCTTTTTGACATAATTTTCAATGGGATATCTGTCAAAAAAGCTGCAACTAACTTTAAAGTCGACTTTATTTTGACTATGACTACGGGCCAAAGACACAGAAAAATGCACAAACTTCAGCGCAAATTGTCAAACGGTAAATATCAGGGCTACAAATATTTGAAATAAAACGTGATGTATTGTTGAATAAAATAGTGTATTTTTATAAGATAATTTTTTAGGAATCTGGCAACTCCAAAAAAATAATGCATATATGCACAGTTTCGGTTGAAAACCGAAATAAAGCATATGAAAAAACCGAAATAATGCATATATGCACACTTACGTTTGAAAACCGAAATAACGCATATGACAAAAACGAAGTAATGCATACATGCACAGTTTCGGTTCAAAACCGAAATAATGCACGTGACAAAAACCGAAGTAATGCATAAATGCACAGTTTGGACTCAAAACCGAAATATTGCATATGACAAAAAACGAAATAGTGCAAACATGAACACGAACTTCTTTCTGCGTAATGCATTCTGTGCATTCCGTGAAATATGCAATGCCAGAATTTGCACAATTCTTCAGAGCTGAATATTTTCACTGCATTACCAACGTTCCTAGAATCGCGGAGACAAGAACTGGTAACATTTTTTGGCAAAAAAATTTTCCGGTTACAAAATCTTCGGTAACGTGCAGAATAGACCTGTTAGAAATAAAAGAGACTGATGCTTTGTATTTTGACGTTTTGGAAAGCACCCTACAAGTCATGAACGAAAGATTCAAGATCACGTAAGAACAAGAGAGTGAAAAATGTCGATTTTTTAGCGGGTTCTACGCCATCTTGTTTCACTGGAAAACGAGCGATAAGTAAACAAAGCAAAGAAAACAACGAAAACCAAAATTAGCCAAAATTATTGTCAGCCACTTTAAACGCACAATTTAGGTAAAATGATGCAACAAAATGCTTTAAAATGTGTTGTCATGTTGAATTAACTCTTCTTTACTTGAATAAAAGTGTAAAATAGTGGTGCTTGTGATGTAAACAAACGCCCAGCTGACGAACCCGCTTTCGCAAACTTTTTTCTCAAAACCAGTTACAAATACAACGTCGCGTTCTACGTGATCTTGTATTTTTGGTTCATGCTACAAGTGAAGCGCAGAATCAGCTGATTTTACAACACCACCTTGTATAAATTCGCCTTCATGTAATGTTATTGTGATTGTGTTCGCCTTGGTCATTGTGATGCATACATACATTTGTATATACATACATATACATACAAAGGCGCCTTGGACACCACGTTGTATAAATTCGCCTCGGTACATACGTATAATGCCTATATGTTATCTAAATTTTAACTAAAACTTAAATTCTAAGTACAAGTGTTTATCGTTCCACAGAAGTTGCCGAAAAAATGTCATCACGCTTTTATCAATTCGGAGTGACTGCATTAAGTGCTTGTATTGGTTCACTTGCGGCCAGTTGGGTTTGTGCAGATAATAAGAGCTCTCCATATGTGGTAAGAAAATGCAACTTAATTCTTTGTTTGTGCAATATTAATTCTTTGTTCCCAAATCAAAGGTTCAAAATGATATTGTACGGCCTCCAAAGAGAAAGCGTACTCTCCCTCCACGTTCCGACCAAATGAAAAGCCTTCAAAGCGGTGAAGAATATGATGTGTTAATAATTGGTGGAGGTGCAACTGGTGCTGGCTGTGCACTGGATGCTGTTACCAGAGGATTGAAAACCGCTCTTGTTGAATCGGACGACTTTGCCAGCGGAACTTCATCCCGGTCCACAAAACTCATTCATGGAGGAGTTCGGTACTTGCAAAAGGCTATTCTTGGGGTAAGAATAACATAAATGCTGGCTAAAATTATATTTATCGCACTCGCTTTTTCCAACATTAATATATGACAGAAAATTCGTGAAGTGGTCGGCTGTTGTTGTTCTAGAGGCTACAACAACCCCGCCCAGGACGGTTGGTATCTCAGTCGTTGTCGTCAAGTTCTATGAAGTGGTCGGCTGATTTGCCGCAGTTTCAGGAAAACGGAAAGTGTTAGGGCCGGTTACTCAACGTCTGGTTAACACTAATTTCCGGTTAAACATAGTTATCGACGTTACGGACTCCCTTTTGTATGCATGAAGTAGAAGACGTCGATAACCATGTTTAAGCGTAGATTAGTGTTAACCAGACATTGAGCAAACAGCCCTTAATGTTTTTGAAAAATGGGCGTGGCGCCGCCCACTTATGAGAAGTTTATCTCATTAAGGGCCGGTTACTCAATGTCTGGTTAACATTAACCTGCGTTTAAACATCGTTATCGACATCTTCGACTCCATCCATACTACAGGGAGTCGGTAACGTTGATAACTATGTTTAACCGGAGATTTGTGTTAACCAGACATTGAGTAACCGGCCCTAAATGTATGATCTGAAAATGAACAGTGGAAGTTAATCAATAATCTCTATTTAAGTAGACCATCTGAAATTGGGCCATAGTTTTAAACTTGTGTAATGTATGTATACATATCATAAGAAATCCATTTTTTTTATATAATATGCCTTTTTGCATTTCAGCGATAATGTTTGTTACGTCTTTTTGCATTTCGGGTGACGATATGTACGTATACAACAACTATGTTCAAATTTTTTTTGAGCGTGAAGTCGTTTCTTTAATGAAAAATGTTGTGGTATGACAACAATAATTTAGGGCCGGTTGTTCAATGTCTGATTAGCACAAATCGGAGGTAGAAGCTCCGGTTAAATACAACGACTGCTTTATAGATCACATGCTATATGCGTGATGTCGAAAACGTCGATAATAGGCATGTTTTATTCAATCATCACAAGAAAATAGCTAAATCTTGGTCAAATAAAACGAAATCAGCTTATTTCCTATGTTAGCCTAATTTTGACAGTTGTTTGACTGTAAATAGTGTCAAAGTAAGTTTTTGCCTCTCTGTTTGGCTGAAGGAGAAAATTTCTGATGCTGAATGGCAATGCCTCTTGTTCAACATACAAGCCAAGATAGCTTTTCATAAACCAATATAATTATGTTGGGTAAGTCCTTCATATAAAATAAGCTAATAGCTTAAATTTCTGGACAAATAAAACACGGCTAATGATGTTTAATCGGCAAGTAGTGATTTCCAGACATTGAACAACCGGCCCTAAATGTTGGCTGGCGACCAACTTTGTTGAAAGCTATTAGTTGAAAGGCCGTTCAAGCAAAAGTAGAATGCAAAGTTGAACAATGCAAACGCCTTTTTATGGTGAATATTTTGATATTTGTTTATATTTTGATACTTTTAGCTATTAAATTTTTTTTCGTGCAACCCTGCGTGAGTTGAACGCAAAATATGCCTGAAAAATCGCCTCGTGCGAAAGCCCTACTATCGAGCTCACTGAGACCAGTTTAAGGGCCGGTTGTTCAATGTGTTGTTATCACTACTTGCCGGTTAAACATCATTATCGACGTTTTCGACATCATGCCTATATCATGTGATCGATAAAGAAGTCGTTGTACTTAACCAGAGCTTCTACCTCCGATTAGTGTTAATCAGACATTGAACAACCGGCCCTAAATTATTGTCATCCCACAACATTTTTCATTAAAGAAACGACTTCACGCTCAAAAAAAATTTGAACGTAGTTGTTGTATACATACATATCGTCACCCGAAATGCAAAAAGACATAACAAACATTATCGCTGAAATGCAAAAAGGCATAACTAATAAAAAATTCGAAATTCACTTTTTGATTTATATGCTGGATTTCATTGAATTACAATACTCCACATCATTTTATGAAAAAAATAAACTTGATCGTGCACGGCTTGTAATTTTTTAAGCTTGCTATACAGTTCAATGCGAGTGTGAGCGTGAACGTTCGCAAAGGCAAAGAATTCCATTTGGATTCTTATGGACGCTCACACACATCTGTCAAAACTTGCCATTCACATATGTGAATGCTTTATGAGAGCGTCAAGGCAGGCGAAGCGGCGTTGGCATTTTTTGTACAATTGTATTTTTTTGATACAATTTCTTTCGCACTATACTTTACTACTACGCAAATCTCTTTTGTACAATTTTGTGATGAATACTAAAATTATATAGCTCTGAAAATTCACAGCGGGAAATTTTTTTGTCTTTTTTCTTGACCTTTTCGAATTTGCATTTTTAAGTTTTGAAAAAGTGTTAAAAATGTCTTGAGCGAACTATTATAACATACCACAAGGTGTGCTATCAGCTTCCCATTAAATTTAGGATACTAGATCTTAAAAAAAGTCGAAATCAGCCCCGTTTAGGTCGGCGAAGTATCTCAGAAGTTGTCCGTCCATAGGGCTACATTCACTACGTATTCTCCTACTCAGGGCTGGCATCGAGTCAAACCCAGGGCCAGAAACATACACCTGCTGTGTATGCCGGAGACGATTACACCACAACTCCACCTCGTCGTACGTGGCCCCCTGTTGCTCAAACAGAGCAGCCTCCACGGCTAACCACAGTCCGCCCGAGCAGCCCCACACACTCACACAGCAGCCTCACACAGTCACCACAACACAACAACATAATAACACCACAGACCGTACCACAGCCACTACAGACCACATAACACACACAACCGCACCACCACCCACACGCCGCCGCCAACAACTCCTGGTTCCCCCTACAAT